TCTCTGTGAGAGGATGGAAACGCAGGTATTTGACATCAGAGCTTTATAAGCTGAATAACAGCTCGCAGTTCCCGGCTGATTTCACTCATCTTCCTCCTCAGGCTCCCCGTATGCCAGAAACATTATCAAACATCTGTGTGTGTGTGTGAGAGATATGAGGAAACCCTACTGTGCATTTTATTTTATTTCTGTTTTTATTAATTGTATTATTATTATTTCTAACCTATTTTATGTGTATGTTATTGTTTTGTGTTTTTCTTTTTTCTTTTGTGTTGCTATTTTAATGTATTTTCTTTTCTTCTTTTTTATTTGGTTTTAAAATTTTACCTTTTTTTTATATATATATATTTTTATATTGTATTTTATGTTATGTTTTTTATTTCTGTTTTGCATTTCATATTGAATTTTATGCCTTTATTTATTTATTTTTACTTTTTGTTTTTGCTTTTATATATTTTGTTTTTGGTTTAGTTTAATTGTTTTATTTTGTTTTATATATTTTTTAATTTTGTAGTTTTATATTTTTTATTTATTTTTATTTATTTAGTTATTCTTTATTTTGTTTAGTCTGTAGTCATAATTATTTTCATATAAAAAATTAAGTGTTTGTGTGTATTTAAGTGGTGACTGATGCAGAAAACAGCGTTTTCTCAGTTTCACGTCACGAGTCTCTGTTTATTTTGGCTTGTGGAGTGTTTCGCCGCCGCCTGCATTTTTCCCAGCGTGTCCCGTCAGTATCAAACCCTGGGGCAAAACGGCGTGTTTGTGAAAGCTTTTCCTGGATTGTCCTGTTCGCTTTCATTCTGTTCTTTTAAAAGGCATACTTTTATTTTGTATTTTTTTCATATTTGTGCATTTTATTTGCCCTTGCCATTTTTTTTTTTTTTATATATACTTTTGAATTTTATTTTTGTATTTTATTTTGGTTACTTCATAATCATTATAATTCTCTCCCATTGGAATAAAGAAACTATAAAAAAGAATATTAAATTCAATAAAAACACCAGAGAGAAAGCATACAGTCAACTTGCAGATTGAAGAATGATCCTGGTTCATTCAAATACAAAAAATATTTTATTTTTGTTTTAGGATAGGTTTGTAACAATTATAATTATTTTCCATTTAATAAAATAAAACAAAACAATATATATAACCTAAAAGCAGTGGTAGAGGAAGCAGGATCATCTTCCTCTCCGCCGCTTCTATTGTTCATGTTTGTCCCCATGAGTGTTGATTATTGCTCTGTGTGTGAGCGCCTTTAACTTCCTTCTGCAAGTGTTTTCTTTGTGTTCCCAGCACTCCACCTTTGCTCCTTATTATAACACAAGTAGGACCGTCGGGCACAGAAGAACCGGCCTTGCAGAAACTGCTCGGCTTTCCTAATATGGAAGCGATTGAGGATGCGGAACGAATCCGCAGTTTCGTAGGAAGCGAAGGCCTGTTTGTCGCCTGTTTTGAGGACGGAGGTTGTTTGTGAGGAATGTGGAGGTCGTGTCGGATGTGATGTTGATTAATGAGGACGAATGAAGCCGTCTAGACAGTGTGACGAGAATGCACTGATAAACCAGAACATAAAGTACGTCTGTGAGCTCTTGAAAAACAAAACATCTCCAATGCACAAACCCTGATGCACTTTCACTGGAGGTTTGTTGACACAGGCGTTTTTCAGATTGTGTTTGGGTCACAATGATGGGAACACGGCTGGATTTAACTATTGTTTCAGGGCTCCAGGCATATGCAACCATTTTTTTGTTTTAATTTTGCAAGTTCAAATTTGACCAGTGTTGGGCAAGCTACTTAGAAAATGTAGTGAGCTAAGCTAGCAGTTACTCTACATTAAATGTAGCTTCACTACACTGAAGCTACCACCCTGGGAAATGTAGCAAGCTAACGCTACAGCGATATGGCAAAAGTAGTTCACTACATCTAAGCTATTTTAAATTTTTTTATATTAAACCAACTTCATTCCAAGTCAATGCTATCTCGGTGATCAATAAAACTGTCAATCAAACATATAGACGGGCATCATATGTCAGTTCACTTGTTTATTCAACAACTGTTCCAAACCAATTTGGCAAAAAAAAAAAAAACATAACATAACTATATAAAACTATAACAAAACCAGGTGTCAAGAGTGTGTATCTTTTCCCATTAAGTACAGTTCTCACGTGTCAGCCCAAGGATTGATTCTGGGTTTATGAGCTATACTGGGACCAGCCACCGGGGGGCGATCGAGACTCTGGGTTTATGAGCTATACTGGGACCAGCCACCGGGGGGCGAGTGAGACTCTGGGTTTATGAGCTATACTGGGACCAGCCACCGGGAGGCGATCGAGACTCTGGGTTTATGAGCTATACTGGGACCAGCTACCGGGGGGCGATCGAGACTCTGGGTTTATGAGCTATACTGGGGGGGGGGGGGGGGGGGCGATCGAGACTCTGGGTTTATGAGCTATACTGGGACCAGCCACCAGGGGGCGATCGAGACACTGGGTTTATGAGCTATACTGGGACCGGCCACCGGGGGGCGATCGAGTCACTGGGTTTATGAGCTATACTGGGACCGGCCACCGGAGGGCCTTCGAGACTCTGGGTTTATGAGCTATACTGGGACCAGCTACCGGGGGGCGATCGAGACTCTGGGTTTATGAGCTATACTGGGACCAGCCACCAGGGGGCGATCGAGACACTGGGTTTATGAGCTATACTGGGACCAGCTACCGGGGGGCGATCGAGACTCTGGGTTTATGAGCTATACTGGGACCAGCTACCGGGGGGCGATCGAGACACTGGGTTTATGAGCTATACTGGGACCAGCCACGGGGGGGCGAGTGAGACTCTGGGTTTATGAGCTATACTGGGACCAGCCACCGGGAGGCGATCGAGACACTGGGTTTATGAGCTATACTGGGACCAGCCACGGGGGGGCGAGTGAGACTCTGGGTTTATGAGCTATACTGGGACCAGCCACCGGGGGGGGATCGAGACACTGGGTTTATGAGCTATACTGGGACCAGCCACCGGGGGGCGATCAAGACACTGGGTTTATGAGCTATACCGGGATAAGCCACCGGGGGGGGATCGAGACACTGGGTTTATGAGCTATACTGGGACCAGCCACCGGGGGGCGATCGAGACTCTGGGTTTATGAGCTATACCGGGACCAGCCACCGGGGGGCGATCGAGACACTGGGTTTATGAGCTATACTGGGACCAGCCACCGGGGGGGGAACGAGACACTGGGTTTATGAGCTATACTGGGACCAGCCACCGGGGGGCGATCGAGACACTGGGTTTATGAGCTATACTGGGACCAGCCACCGGGGGGCGATCGAGACACTGGGTTTATGAGCTATACTGGGACCAGCCACCGGGGGGCGATCGAGACACTGGGTTTATGAGCTATACTGGGACCAGCTACCGGGGGGCGATCGAGACACTGGGTTTATGAGCTATACTGGGACCAGCCACCGGGGGGGGAACGAGACACTGGGTTTATGAGCTATACTGGGACCAGCCACCGGGGGGCGATCGAGACACTGGGTTTATGAGCTATACTGGGACCAGCTACCGGGGGGCGATCGAGACACTGGGTTTATGAGCTATACTGGGACCAGCCACCGGGGGGGGAACGAGACACTGGGTTTATGAGCTATACTGGGACCAGCCACCGGGGGGCGATCGAGACACTGGGTTTATGAGCTATATTGGGACCAGCCACCGGGTGGCGATCGAGACACTGGGTTTATGAGCTATACTGGGACCAGCCACCGGGGGGCGATCGAGACACTGGGTTTATGAGCTATATTGGGACCAGCCACCGGGGGGCGATCGAGACACTGGGTTTATGAGCTATACTGGGACCAGCTACCGGGGGGCGATCGAGACACTGGGTTTATGAGCTATACTGGGACCAGCCACCGGGGGGGGAACGAGACACTGGGTTTATGAGCTATACTGGGACCAGCCACCGGGGGGCGATCGAGACACTGGGTTTATGAGCTATATTGGGACCAGCCACCGGGTGGCGATCGAGACACTGGGTTTATGAGCTATACTGGGACCAGCCACCGGGGGGCGATCGAGACACTGGGTTTATGAGCTATATTGGGACCAGCCACCGGGGGGCGATCGAGACACTGGGTTTATGAGCTATACTGGGACCAGCTACCGGGGGGCGATCGAGACGTTTTGGCTTCACTTTTCAGGGCACGCTTGGTTTGCACGGACAAACTTGGAGTTGTGAGGAGGTGCGGAGCCTCATAGAAATTTGGTCTGATGACTATATTAGGTCCCAACTTTCACAAACTCGAAGAACAGCGAAATTTTCGCTTTGTTTAGCGAACCGCTCAGGGAAAGGGGCTTTCATAGATCTGGGGAATTTTCCCGCACGTTAATTCTGACCAATCGAAGTGCAGTTATGGAACTACGTTCGAGACACATCTGTCACGTGACTGCATTTTGGTTCGTTTCATCAACTGATTCGGACCAGAGCAATCAGTGTGGTGTGAAAAGGAACCAAAACGACTGAAAATGATTCAAAGTATCATTTTTCGCCCTTGATCCGGACCAAATGAACCGAACTACAGATGTGACAGCACCCTAAGTCACCGAAGAGCTTCCAAACCACCTAAAGATTCCTCTGGAAATCTCATAAGTCACTTCAGATACTAAAGCATTACGGCTCTTCAGAGACTGAACTTGTTTTACACCGTGAAGACAGCTTGTGTAGTTATTCCTGCCTGGCCTCGTATGGCAGGGGATGCTGGGATTGAATGCCATAGTTTGCTCTCTGCTTTATTTATGGCCTGTGTAATGTAGCGTACAGTGGGAGCTGCAGTTTGTTTGAATGGCAGCCAGAATAGAGTCCTTATTCAAACAATATCAAGAGTCTCTGTCAAACTAGTCCCATTATTTACATATTTACATGCTGACTTTTATTCATTCAGTGTTGCATTGTGTTTTACAATCAATGTTAAATATCTGTTTTGTCTTTGCAGATCTTCCAGTGTCACTAAAAGGGAGACCCCAAAGGTATGTACCTTCAAAATAATCATAATATAAACATGTAATGCGTGTCCTAACTAGATGCATTTCCAGTATCAAGTACTGGATTAGTGTGTTTAAATGTATAATAAAGTGCTAATAATTACCCCCCCCCCCCCCCCCCTTAGCTTGTTATAATGCATCATGTAGCTGACGGAAGACAAGTTGTTCTTCATTCATGATGTCAAAATATAAACTTACTTCAAAAAAATATAAATTGTGTTTTTGTCAAAGACTCGATGATCGAGTCCATCAACACCTCAAAGCTTCACAGTCGTTCCCTCTTTAAGGGTTCAACATTTCTTTCAGTAACGTTAGGCAGTTTTGATTTATATGCAGTTTGATGATTGAGATATTTGACATGTGCGTCAGCGATGCTTCTATCGCTCGTTTCTGCTTCTTCTCCTCCTGTGTTTTGATCAGGAGATTCTGTACTCTTTCAGAAGAAGTGTAATAGCGCCCCCTACTGTATAACACCGAAAACACGGATTGCTCGTCAATAGCAGGGAAAGAGTTGAGAACACATTTAAATGTATGGTGAGTTTGGACCAATTAGATTTCACTGTGGGCGGGGTCTCCTAGTGCATTGTGACGGATTATAAATGAGGTAACCAATAAAACGTCTTGATCCAAATCAGTTGTTGCGGCGGGTGAGGTTTATAGCTTTGCATCACGCCTGGTTAGGACACGCATGTGACGTGTATAGCATTTTTGAAATGCCTGATCTGTTGCATGACACTGAAGAACTGAGTATTTCTGCTTCCCCTCATTACAGTTCATTTCTGCACTGAGAAAGTTGGTGTAGAATTTAATTTGAAACAATTTTCCCATAAATTGCTAGTAAATTTCACAAATGATTACAATGAAACGACACAATGAATTAAGCGTGAAATTTTGAAGTATGAAAACTGAAATAGTATTTTCTTGTAATATTTGTTTTATTTACAACTTGGAAAAATAATTTTTTGCTGTGTGGGGCATTATTTTAATTTTTATGGTATTTGTTTCTAATATTTGTAATATGTTCAAGTAAAACCAAGGAAATTTAAAAGAAAAAAATAATGTAACAGAAATTTCGGATTGAAATATGCACAATATTAAGTTAATGTAATGATCAACATTGTCAACAGAACTCATGAAAATAATGTTTGCAACTTAAAAGGTTTGATTAAATCAAATAAATTAGATTTGCAACCACACTCAAAAAAATGCTGGGTTATTTTAACCCCAACGTTGGGTCAATATGGACAAACCCAAACGTTGGGGTTAAAATAACCCAGCATTTTTTAGAGTGTGTGCATTTAGGTTTAGTGTGCGTTAAGGCTGTAACGAGGGGGCGTGGCTCCTGCATGCGTGTGCTGTGACGTGAGCATGTTGCATGTGTTTCATCACTTCCTGTAGGAGGAACCACTGGAGATCATAAAGCCTGTGCCCATCAGCCAAACGCCTGCAGCCGCCACCAGTCTCGCCCCGGGCAGCAACGCGTACAATAAAACTGCACGGCCCTTCGGCGGGGCCCCTAGTACGGTTCGCTCCATCAGCCCGTCCCTGACACCCGTCGCACCCAAAGCCTCGATCCCCTCCGCATCTTCTGCATTCACTCCAGCGGCTCCTTCCCAGCCGCCGCCGCCTCCTCAACCACCCTTCCCACTCGGTGGCTCCGCCCACCGGTCATCTAGCTCCGCCCCTAAACCCGCCCCCTTTGCAAACTCGTCATCCACTTCCTCTGGCTCCGCCCACCGCTCATCTAGCTCCACCCCTAATCCCGCCTCTGGCCGCTCCCCCTTCGCCAGCTCGTCCTCCACTTCCTCCTCTGGCTCCTCCTCCCCGGCGAGAGTGACAGCTCCTCCCCCTCCGGCCCCCGTCGTCCCTCAACCCTCCGTCTATAACACGCCCATCAACCTCTACTCCAATGTGAATGCGTGCGAGGTGGCCATGGGCCAAAGACGTGGCCTGATGGAGAGTAAAGGCACTGGGGAACATCATAACGGGTAGGTTTGACCAATCCACTTCCAGTTCTTCATACTTCTGTTTCCTTCGTTTACTCTTCCTCGCTTTTCTTTAAAGATTACATATTATGCCCCTTTTCACAAGATGTAATATAAATCTATGGTGTCCCCAAAATGTGTCTGTGAAATTTTAGCTCAAAGATAATTTATTATAGCTTGACAAATTTGCCCCATTTTAGGTGTGAGCAAAAACACGCCGTTTTTGTGTGTGTCCCTTTAAATGCAAATGAGCTTCTGCTCCGCCCCTGTTCACAAGAGGGCGGAGCCTTTACACGAGCTTCAGATACAATAACAAAACATGCAAATCCGAACTAGAGCAGCTTTCATCTACTTATTACACATCTTTATGATGATTATATATATATATTTTATCTTCTCCAGAGATCCCTGGTTGAAAACAGACATGTGTTTAATGCAGCTGGGTTTAAAATAAGGAATATAAAACTTGTGGTTAGGTTAAAGCTCTTAAAAATGAATTACGCAGTGTCTTATTTGTCTAAATAATCCTTTTGAAGTGAGACTACTGTTCTACACAGATGAGTTCTGCTGATCTGTTGCTTACGTAATCGCTGTTGGTTGAGTTTGCTCGTGTAAACAGTGCTTTATGGATGGTTACATCATTTTTTAATTGTCACAAATGCTGTTTTTGGTGCTGAAATGCATTTGGATGGGAGTTACAGTCCACGGGATGTTTTGAACACTAGACAATACACACACAGCTCTCTGTGGGGAAGCGTATGGGAAAGTTGGGCGTCAACTTGGGAAAAAAGTGATGGTTTGAGCGAGTGACTCACTCATTCCTTTTATTATTAACAGGCATTTCTAGATGAGTATTTTCATTTATTTTATTTATTTATTTATTATTCAATTTATTTGTTTTATTTTAGATTCGTTTTATATTTGTATATATTTAATATTTAATTATTAGTATTAATTATTATTTAAAGGGAAATGCTACTAGATATACTTGTGAATTTGCTACTCTTGCAAGAATTAATGAACACTGCAAAAACAATTTATATATATATTTTTAGTTAAAAATTATATATATTTTATGTTGGTATCTATTTTTATTTTTATCTATTTTTATGTTTAATTACTATTTAATTATTATTAATTTAATTATTTAAATAATTAAAAAATATATATTTTTAATGTATTTGTATCTATTTTATTTCATATTTATTTATGAATTTAATTATTAATTGTATTTATTTATTTAAATTGAAGTATTAAACTTTAGTGTGTAACCTTGTTTTTTTTAAACATTTTCTTCTGAAATGTCTTAAGTTTAAAAGCACATTTTTCATGCCTTCCCCATATGTGGTCTTGTTTTCATAGATGGGTTTTATTTACTCACTCACTTTAGTTTTGACTTGGAAGTCAACAGCAGATCAAAGAAAACTCGTAAAGCGGTAATGAGTCTGTCTGAGACCGAGCGCGCTCCCTCTCATGTGGTTTTAGTGATCCTAGTAAACATGTAAACTGTGTGTCCCACATGCTGAGACTCGGATAAACAAAACGCTCTGCTTGAAATTCTGACCACAGGAGGAGAGGAACGAGCAGCGGTTAATTCCTTGTTTTGGACACGTTCCTCATAATATATTATTATGAGCTTCCTAATCCCAGTGATGGTGAAGTCAACAGGAAAAAGGGAAGAACAGCTCGACCTTTTGCTGTGACAGACTCAATCCCAGGAACGCTGATGGATTATCCAGAGAGATCCTCTCTTCCTTTTGTCCTGATTGTCTTAAAGGGATCGTTATCCCAAAATAATGTTAACCCTTAAACGCGTACCTCGGGTCTTTATTGACCCGGGACTACACTCATTTTTTAAAGTTAGACATCAACCTCCTTAGTATTACTCAATTTATTAATTATGAAAATATAACAAGAATAAATATATATATAAAAGGATGTCTGTTTTTGTAAAAAGTGCATTGGGTCGCTAGTGACCCGATGTATGTAATAGTGGAAGTATTTATTTTCCGATGACTGAATAAGTGCAATTCACCTTTATTCCTCAAGGTGGCAGTGTTTGATACACTAATTACGTGATGTTTCACTCATAATCACTGCAGGCATTAAACAAGAATACATGAGTATAATGAAAAAACCATTGGACTATGAACTACTTTTATGATATTTTATGGGGTTTTATTTTTGGGTTGTTTTTGTTGTATAGAAGCAGCTTTAAAATTTAGCTTAACAGTTTGTGTTCCACTGAAGAAAGTCAGACATATAAGTTTGGAACAGCATTAAAAGTCGAGTACATGCAGGATGAAACAGATTTTACATTTTTTGGGTAAACCGTCTCTTTACATCATAGAGGCCTCATAAGAGCATCGTGTTCAGTCTGAATTAGATTTGAAACATCAGTGAGACATTAAAGTGAGTGAACCCTTTTGACCAGAAATATTTACTTGAACTCTTAATTATCAAGGGTTTTTAAGTTATCAGTGTAGTAATTGAACAACAGCTTCGCACGTTCACGGATCTCTGGTGTCGGTTAATGGTCACATTGTTTTTCATGTTTTTTTATTATATTTTAATCATTTTTTATTTATTTAACTTTTATATGATTTAATTATTAGTTATTTTTATTAGTTATATAAAATATTATTTTAGTGTTTTTTTATTTTTTTTATTTTAATAATTATTCATTTTAATTTAACAGTTATGATTTGTATTTGTTTTAGTCTTAGTTTTTTATTAGTAAGTTTTTATTTTTAATACAAATTTATTTTAATTGAACTTTTTTATAATTTAATTACTATTTTTTTGTATTTGTTTTATTAGTTTGTTTGTTGATTAATTATAATTAATTGCTTTATTTTGATTTCTATTCATTTTAAAGTTATTTTAATTTTTTTGTAAAATTTTTAGTTTTATTTTGATTTATTTTTAATTCAATAATTATATCAATTGCTCCTTTTAATTTAACATGTATTACTTAATAATTAGGTATTATAATTTTAATTGTAGATTTTTATGAGTAAGTGATTTATTTTGATTGCATTCATTTAATTTATTTTTGATTTTATTATTAATAACGTTCATTTTAAATGAACTTTTATTATTTATTAGTTATTTTTACAGGTTTTTTAAATTTATTTGAAAAAGATTTTCCATTTGTTCAATGAAAAATACTTCTATTATCAATCCTCTTTAATGTTAATTTCAACATAATACATTAAATTTAAAAGTTGTTTCTGTTAATATTATGTAATGGCCGTGAGCTGACATGAACTAACAATCAACAGTATTTTTGTTAACGACGATTAATAAATACTGTAACAAATGTATTGCTTAATACTAAAATCGATCTATCTCATCTAGTGCTAACTAATGGGTCCTCATTATAAACTTGCTGTAATTATTTAAAAGTGATTTATTTTCATCTTTAAATAGACGTATATGTTGATTGAGTTAGACAGTGTGTGTTTACAGACGTCTGGTCACTGCTCCTCGTGTTTAGCCGTCCGCCTCGTCAGGAGTGTGTGTGTGAGATCCAGTGTGTGTGTGTGAGTTTCCAGCTGCGTTTACAGACTCCACTAATTAACATCCGCAGCCGGAGTGAGTTAAAGTCATTAACTCCACTGATGGAGGCGCAGGCTCTTCTGTGTTCGGTACTCCACACACACGAGCGCTGGATCGAGGTGCGATCGGCCCAGTGTGTGTGTGTGTGATGCCTGAAACTCACTCAAGCACATGAACGCTGTAAGGGTTGCAGGCCTTAACACTGCATATATATATATAAATGCTGGGTTGTTTCAACCCAAATTTGGGTCAAATATGGACAAACCCAATGTAGGTTAAAAATGTAATTTTAAATTTTAACCCAACTTTCACTTTCACCTGTAAATCTTTTAATTACATTTTTAACCCAACATTTGGGTTTGTCCATATTTGACCCAAATTTGGGTTGAAACAACTCAGCATTTTTTAGAGTGTAATATATATATATATATATATATATATTTGATTTTTTTTTTTGTCTCGTTTACCTGTACAATATCTAAACATCTTTAAAACAAGATACATTTGGGTTTGAAGCAAATTATGAAAAAATAATAAGACTTATTATGATTTATGAATTATCTTTAGTGACTTAAAATAGATTTAGATTTTTTTTTATTTTAGCAGAATATTTAATACTTAGTGTTTTAAAATATAGTTTTATTTATTTATTCATTTGTTATTTAGAAGACTTTTATCCTTCGTTACTTAAAATAGATGTATACTTTTTATTATTTAAGCAAAATATTTTATCCTTAGTGACTTAGTTTGTTTTATATTTATTTAACTTTTTTTAGCACATCCTCTAAAGTGACTTACAAATGAGGAATAGAAGAATAGATTTATTTGACATGTATTTATTCTCTATTTTTTTTAAAGTTAGTTTATTATACACTAGCGTCAGATTTAGAGTACGGTCAACATGTTTAAATCGGCGACCTGAATAATAATTCAACATAACTTGATGCTCTCGCATTTGTGTACTTGTGTGAGTGTCTGTTCGGCCTGCATGTGTGTGAGTTTCTGCGTGTGTGTGTGTGTGTGTTTCTGCATGTGTGTGTGTGTGTTTCTGCATGTGTGTGTGTGTGTTTCTGCATGTGTGTGAGTTTCTGCATGAGGTTTGATGGTGATTCATTTCCTCTCAAACAGAAACACTTCAGATGTCTCTCTCTCTCTCTCTCTCTCTACAGGAGGAGCCCATGACAAAGTTAGTGTACTAGATGTGTGTGTGTCTGTGTTCTTTCACCGTCTCTAACCCAGCGACACACACACGATCACTCTCTATCTCTAGTGTTGCACAGAGGGGTTTAGATGAGGGTTTGAGGTCAGCATAGTGTGCTAGTGTTCATCATGTGCTGCTGTCAATCATCATGTGTCTGTGTGTTTATTCACGGCAGTGGCATTAATTCTCTTGTGTGTTGTATAAATAGCAGCGGTGACATTTACCTCCACATGCATTGTTACAGATGAGAGAGATTTACCAGGAAGTCGACACAGGTCAGCTAGTTAAACACTCGAGACAGTGGAGCCACCTAGTGTTAGCAGCCGGTACAGTTCATTTGTATTACAAGTTTATACAGTTCATACAGTACTCAGCATTTTGGCCTGACTTAAAATGTCTAATAAAATAATAATAATCATTTTTTAAAGTATTTTAGGAATTAATTTAGCAAGTTAAAAAAATTCTACATTTTAAATATTTTTTAATTCCATTTGTTGCCACTTTGTTCATTTACTAACAACTAAAGTCATAAAACATTTTTGTTACTTAAAATTAAATAAACATTCACTGAAATTAATATAATTATTTCAGTTAGCTGCGAATATTTCTCATTTTCATTTATTTTGACAAAAATAATAAAATTGACAAAAACAACATAATTACTAATACTTTAGAATTAAAACCAATATGTATAATAGAAAAAACAATATAAATAAAATAAAGCAAATTAAAAAAAAATGTTTAATTAAACTAAAATATATCTGATAATTCAAATAGCACAGGTTACTAAAAGACTACAAGTAATTTTCTATAAAAAAAATATTTTCCTTTTTAATGTGTAGAATATCAGCACTTATATTGACTATGAAATTTGGGATACTTTTTATTATTATTCAATTAAATTCAATACTTAATTAAAAGATATTCTGTATTTATAGGACACATCTTGAATTACATTGCATGCAGAATTTAAATAAACTTTATTTTGACAAATAAATTGTCAATTTATTTTTTTAATAAAAATTAACCCCCCCCCCCCCCCCACTAATAATAATAACAACAACAATAATAAATATCACCAATATATAAATAAATATAAAAATATAATAACAATATTTTCTTGACATTTTATTTCCATAGTGGACCTCAGAGTATTCTTAAGTAAGTAGAAACAGTCTTAATATGAATTATGGGGTGATTTTCCATCTCTTTTCTCTGATTCTCTTGATTTCTGTCTTTTCTTTAGAAAGACTCCTCCCAGGTAAACCGATCCCAGTGTTTTATATCCAGCTGTTGTTGTGTTGAATGTTTAGTGATGTAGTGTGTGTGTGTGTGTGTGTGTGTGTGTATCAGAACGGCCCGTAAGCCCGTGTCGGAGCCGGAGCTGAACCACGTGTCTCCGCCCAGTGACTCCAGTAAGAAGCGTCTGATGGAGGACACCGAGGACTGGCACCCGCGCACCGGCACGTCCCAGTCGCGCTCCTTCAGGATCCTGGCACAGATCACCGGCACAGAGAACGGTAGGAGCCGCTAAACTACACACTTTTAAAAGCTTAGAAGCTGCCATTCATGCTACAGGTGAAACTCGAAACATTAGAATATCGTGCAAAAGTTTATTTATTTCAGTAATTCAACTTAAAAGCTGAAACTAATATATTATATAGACTCATTACATGCCAAGTGAGATATTTCAAGCCTTTATTTGTTATAATCTTGATGATTATGGCTTACAGATATGAAAACCTTTTCACAATATACAAATTTTGAATTTGGGGTTTTCATAAGCTGTACGCCATAATCATCAAAATTATAACAAATAAAGGCGGTTACAATATTTGTAACGGTCAATATTGTGTTAAGTCCTTGAGCTCTTGAAAGGTGCTATATAAATAAAACGTATTATTATTATTATTATTCAAAGTCTTTCTTGCTTCTCTCCTCTAGATCAAGCTCAGGAGAACCGGCCTGGAAAGAAGTAAGTTCTGCGTCTCTCCATCAGATCAGATTATTCACACTCTTCTCTCGCAATATAGTGTATTAAAATTACATATTATATTTATAAATTCTATAATATTTTTTTAAATTATGCATTTTGGATTATATGACACTATACGTGTCTTTTATTTACTGTATATAAATATTATTATAAATATGTAAATATTATTACATTATTATTATTTTAATACATATTTTTTTATTATTAAAAACAACATTTATAAATATAAATTATTATTATTATTATTTTTAACTAGGCCTATATTTATGAAATGTAAATTATTAAATTATACAATTATGTATTATGTGTATTATATGGTAATGTGTATATATATTTTTGTATTTTTATTTATAAATATAATAAACCTATAACTATTATAATTGTATAGTATTATTAATATTATTAGTATTTTGAATATAGTATTTTTATTTATAAATATTATGTTTATGTATTACATTTATAAATAATATATAAATTAAATAATAAAATTATGCATTGTCTGTATTATATAACAAAATATATGTATATATTATGTATTATATTTATAAATATTTAAATATTATTATTATTATTATATATTATATTTATGTATTATATTCATTAAAAAAGTATAAATTATTAAATATAAGATTATACATTGTGTATTTTATTTATATATATAGGCTAATAGTACAAATATATGTAATTCGAAAATCGTAACACAATATTTACTCAAACATAATTTCAAAACTATAAAATGTAGTGTGTATCTGTTGACATCTGTTGGCGCTGATACGGTCCTGCCGATACACTGATCTGACACTAGAGCGCTACACACACACACACACACACACACACACACACACACACACACACACAAGCTCCACGTCCTCTCTGAAGCGGTTCGTGTTTCTCTGGTTTGCAGGATTATGAGGTTATCCTGAAGTTTGTGTCGTTTCACTCACTCTCTGTCCTCCTGCTTTCTGAAGCTGATCACTGTTGACTACAGCTGTGTAATCAGTTTATTTCCTCTCTGTCCTTCTCTCTCTGTGTATGTGTGTGTGTGTCAGAGTGAATAAAGTGGACCCAGAGCTGCTCCGGCCTCAGTACAACAAGCTGAGAGACTGGCATCATGGGGTCTCGGCCCGAGCGCTTAATATGTAGTAGATCCGTCTGATGCTCCGCTCAAACCTTCCGATCCCAAATCCGAAATATCCACACGCCTGTCAATCACAGAGAAACAGTCATGTGACTCGTGTGTCTCTTCACTGTGTGTGTGAAGGAGGGTCCTGTCGTCTGTCCTCTGCATGCGTGACCTGTGCTGTATCTGCATCTGTTTCTCCTCTGTATGTCTGGACTTTCTTTCATCGCTCAATAAAGCTTTTCTTTCGTCTTTCTGCATCTGGTGTGTCTTCTTTTCTCTTTCTTCTCCTCTGTTCTTGAACTGTGACTGTTGAAACGGCGTTTGGTTTAATGGTTGAGTTTTGAAAGATGAAACCAAAGATTCCATTAACAATTCTAGTTTCAGGAAGCATTTATATACACTATACTTTTCAAACATTTGGGATCAATATGAGCAGGGCCGTAGCTAGAGGATTCGGGGCCCCCTGAAAAAATATTGATGTGGGCCCCCACCACCCTCATCATATACTGTACAATAGATGAACATGGAGGCCCACATAACAGAAGATGGTGATGTTGTTGTAAAACCTTTATTTTAAAAGTTAAATGTTTATATAAAAATTACAACTAATAAAAAAAGCAAGAAATTGTTAAATAATAATAAAACCAATTTTTAAAAAGTAATAAATTTTTCCCCCTTCAGTCTGTTATAATTCATAAATCAAAAAGTAAACATTTAAAAAATTGACAAGAATGCAGTCTAATTCAAAAAATAAAAGCATTCATTGTCTTATTTTTTAATAAAGATAATATGGAACTGGTAATATTATTAAATAAAGCGAATAGGCTACATTTATTCATCCAAGTGCAGTGTGTTGTATTCGTGTTTTCTCGATGTTTTAAATATCATCAGCCGGCAGGTCAGATGCATAATGCAATGCGTCGTGACTCGTGTAATTTTTTTAAAACTCTAGTTACAGTACTGTAAAAAGACAGGAATTAATGCCGCGTTCCAGGCAACCTGTAACCCGTGTTTTTCCAACTCGTAACTGGGAGTACTTCGTTCCAGGCAACCTGTAACCCGTGTTTTCCCAACCTTATACCCGTGAAAGTGCACTGGAAGGGCAGTTAAACCCGTGACTTCCCACCCGTGAATTCGTACTAGATCGATGTACTCCCAGTTACGAGTTGAAAAAACACGGGTTACAGGTTGCCTGGAACGCGGCATTAGACCACGTAATCATTCGGTCGATTGCGGCGCGCACCGATAATAAAAAATGACTGTACACGGCAGACTGTAGACGGAAGTTTTCTAATTCCCAGCGAAATAACAATATATAACCGGTCTTTAAGAACGTCTTGATCGACTGGGATACAACCACTCTCCTTGCCTCTCTCTCCGTCTTTTCCTGGCATTTCTGGTTCCCTGATTTTTGTTTTCTTTTCCCCGACATTTTTCAGTCAGTCAGTCTCCTGCTCTTCCACCAAGTTCATCGTTAACTTCAGGCTGCCGCCTCAACTCTGATTGGTTCTGTTCACGAGCTGGGGTGGGACTTACAATTTTATTGGGTCCATCTGATGTTTGTCACTGACTCTGACTGAATAATTAATACATACTTTAGGTCGGACTAAACCATTTTTATGGAGGTAAGAGAAGCAGATATTTAGAAAAATATTTACCCAAATTGCACGTTTTTGTGGTTTTCATTTAAATCTCAGGCATACAACTAATATAAATATTATAATTATTCATACTATAGGGGCCTAAATATTACAACTGCTGGATTTTGTGGGGCCCCCTGGGCAGCGGGGGCCCCTATAATTGTCACCACCTTTCACCCCACTAGCGACGGCCCTGAATATGATATATATATTTTTTTTAAGAAACTTAAATTTATTATCAAGGGCACATTAAACTGATCAAAAGTGACAGTAAAGACATTTATAATGTTACAAAAGATTCTATTTCAAATAAATGCTGCTCTTTTAAACTTTATATTCAAAGAATCCAGAAAAATAAAATGTATCCGGTTCCACAAACTGTTTTGAACACTGATAATAATCATAAATGTTTCTTGAGCATCAGATCATCATATTAGAATGATTTCTGAAGGATCATGTGACACTGAAGACTGGAGTAATGATGCTGAACATTCAGCTTTGATCACAAGAATAAATTACACTTTACTGTATATTCACATAGAAAACAGCGGTTTAACATTGAAATAATATTTTTGTAGCACAATTTGAGTTTGCTCAGTGAGTCCCTCTGGCATTGAGTAATGATGCTCATTAACTATGCGCTTGTAGCCGAGCTGCACCAATCACATCGGGTTATCTGACAGAGGCGGGCCAGAGGCGAGATGACGACAGCGCTGTGACGTCACAGTCATTAGTAAACATTGCCAGATGGCTATGGATGAACACCAGTTGTTGGAAACGGCTTTGGCCGCTACACTGAACGAGTTAAGGCCCTTGCACACGGAGTCCGAAATTCGTGTCCAAAATTTCCGCACGATAAAAAATAAATACAACCTCACGTTATGTCAATCACGCTTGCACACTTTCGTCCGTCAAAAAAAATCGAGTTCGATTTCCTGCTTTTTCCGCATCCCTAGCAAGCAGTTTGAATGGTGTTTTAACAATTCAGAGCCACTGAATCACGAATATGAAAAAACGCATGTGAAAATTTTGGGCCTTTAGACTTGGCTTCTTATCTAAAAGAGGAACAGAAGACGGCGCTCGAATCGTTCCTTTGCAAGGACGACGTTTTTGCTGCTTTGCCGACCGGGTACGGCAACAGCTGGTAGTGAAGCATGGTACAGATGTGTATCGACATCAGCCTGCCCACGGACTACAGGTGGAAATTAGCACAAGTGCTACAACCTGCTAGCCTGGATGCCAGCCCGAACCCCGCCCACAACAGTTTTTGGTCGGGAGGTTCGGTCTGGACTTGCTCCATTGAGGAGTAATTATGATCGGTTCAGAATTAGTCGGGCCAATCAAATTGCCAGGGCGGGCTTTATACGATGATGGACAGATGATCTGCAGTTGCGTAATCATCACGTTATCAAAGAGCGCTTAACTGGTTTCCCTCATGACTGCAGCTGGAGAACTGAGATGTAGAGATCCCGCTATCGCGTCTGTTGTAAAAGAAATCGACAGCGCATTCATTTTAAAAGAAGAACAGAGAACTGCAATCAAGGCATTTGTCGATCGGAAAGATGTGTTTGCCGTCCTTCCTACGGGATTCGGCAAAAGTTTAATTTATCAGCTGGCTCCGATGGTCGTGGTCGTTGTGGTTTCTCCTTTGGTCGCACTCATGGAGGACCAAGTCAAAGAAGCAACACTCATTATTTTACTACTTCGTCCAGCGTGCGTGTAGTTGAGTTCTGTTGACAACTTTGCGTAGCTCAACGTACGTCACTTACTGCGTTGCTCTGATTGGTTGTAGGTCTATCCAATTGAGTGCAGAGGTTTTTTTTTCTGGTTCGGTTAAGACACTCCTCATAATCAAAGCCCTATAGACCCCTTTTCAGTTGGTAAACATGGTGACGTTTTTTTGTGGGCGGAGCTTAGCTGGAGGCAGAACGATCCCTCTGGCCGCTTCACTAACGCTAGTTTGCAAGTTTTGTTAGCTTGTTTTTTAACAATGACTGGAGAAAATCCGATTTTATCTTAATGTGCAAGGTCACTCAGTGTCCAGGACCACGTTAGTTATTTGCAAAAGTTCATTTTAACGGACGGAACCAGATTGGCTGACCCGTAGCCTACACGCTAACTCAATAATGGACGATCTGACAGGATTAACGCTAACGCTACCTCTGGTCGAGTGGCCGGACTTCTACACCTATCCGATAGAGAAACCGAGCGTAAAG